CACTCACTTTTACGGAAAAAAAAAGTAAAGCACAGTCAAGTTTTGACCATGTCTAGAAAATGCGAGAAATTACACCTTCGGTTTTGCTGGAAAGCTGTACTGCCTCGAAACAATCTCAATCTTTGCTTTCCACAAATAAACTGCCCGTGTGAATTAACCCTTGAACCATTCTCACAACTTGTCAACTGCGCGTCCTAAAGTTCTTGCAAAGCTCAATCTAAAACCTTGAAAGATATTCAGCGCTGAAAAATAGTAAGATATAAAATGTAGATTGACAAATAGAGAAACAAGTCAATACGCAAGTAAAGTTGCACTTTGAGAAATCAAATTATAAAAATAAAATGTTTTCCCAAAAAACCCCAAAAAAGCAACCCTTGCTTATCTCGTTAATTCCACGTGCAACTACCGTGACTGCAGCTATGTATTTCTTTCTTTTTTCTTTTTTTTGCCTGCTGGAACCTAATACCTTCTCCGGAAGAAAATTGCCGATTTCAAGCTGGAAATAAAGTTAAGTTGGTACACAGTACTTGAAGGCTTTTAACGCAAAACAGAGTAAAAAAAGCACATTTTCCCGATTTTTTCGCTCACCGTTTTCCGAGCTATGACCCAACTAGCCGAACGCCTGGAAGAGGTTAGGGATAAGTTGTCTCACCTAGCCCAGGCATTCAATCAATTGAGATGGAAAGGCATGTGACGGGGATGAACGTACTTAATATATTCAATTAAAGCTGGTAATAAGTGGTAAGAGTGAATTGCTAACTCAAGGTAAAAGTGAACTGCTAACTATGAAAATCTTGGGTTAAATATACCAAATGAACAGTCCACTTCAGGCGGCATGAATTTTCTAATAATTATTATTTTTATTTCTTAAATTTCTATTCGTAGTATATTTATGTATTTAATTATTCTTTTCCTTGTTTCTTTTTTTTAATTTTTTTTTAATTTTTTTTTTCAGACTCCGCACTCAGCGTTTTCGGAACAGCCGTTTTAGATGTCAGAAATTAATAAATTCACTTCTCACTTCTTCCGAGAGTAAATTGGCGTAGTCATCTCTGATTTGGAAAAACAAGGCCAGCGTATCCAGCAATGGGACAAAGTTACTGAAAATACAAAATAAAATAAGTGGATAACTGTGATAAAGACGATTGAAGAGAAGAGTAAAATTAGTTGCACAACATCTTGAAAAAAACCATCAAACAAGCAGAAAAAAAAGTAAACAATGACTGAAAAAAAGATATCTAAAAAAGGGAAAGTGACCGTAAATTTGAAACAGAAGCCATAAACCATCTGAATCTTAAAAAAGCAAGCAACTGCAATCAATCAGTGTCGTGATTTTATATATTATAGCTGACTACACACACTGGTATCTCATCTACTCTGTTCTGTACTCCTAATACTGTGACAAGAGAATTCACAGTATTTATTGAAAGATTATGTCTAAAAATTGTAAGAAAAGGATCACCTTGTATTTTCACTGAAAGTTTGCATCAGCCTCACGGCCAACCTGAAAAGGCCACCAGTCTCTAAATCAACAACAAAGCCATTCAACAATAAGTGCAGTACACATTTTCAATTGCTGTCTGATTAGTTTTATAATTGTGATTAAAAAAAAATGACTTAACATTTTGGAATACTAGCAAAGATGCTAGGGATAATTGACTGCTACTAGCAGCTAAAGTATGTCCATGTATGAAGTCACATGCTGGGAGTGAAAAGGTAAATTTGGAGGATCAGTTTGTTATTGGCTGCATAGAAGTTCCACATGTCATACGTGATTTACACGTATAGTTACATGTAACTCCAAGGTACCCAAACTTTTTTATAACCAGGGCTTGACACTAACTTTTCAACTTACCAGCCAAGTGGCTGGTGACAACTTAGATGTTACAACAATTTCAGTACTGTTTGTTCATTAGCCAAACTGGCTAGTGGACATCAAAAACCACTAGCCAAAACTGAATTTCTACTAATCTGTGGCTAGTTGGCTACAGTTAGTGTCGAGCCCTGATAGCACGAGCTGATATAAAGAGAAAAGGTATTATAATAGTAGGGCTATGAGTAGGAGACAAGTTCAAGTTTGAATTGAACCTAAGGCTTACTTTTCTTGACCATTTCATGATATTCATCCTCAGATGGGCAGGTGTAGCTGTCTCTCCAATAAATATCCATTCCCTGGCCTCTGTGAAGCTCCAACAATTCCTCTGAATCAAGAAATTGCAAGTTGTAAAAGACATGAAAAACAGACTTTGAACAAAAAAAAACAAAAAAAAAAAACTACCAGGTGTACAATTTGTTATTATTCTGTTTTTATACATGTAAATAATAAATAAAATTAGTGACTCAAACTTGAATGAATTAGAATTCCATGAAATGTGGTGATTCCAATTTTTTAAATGAAACACTTCTACAGTATGTATATAAATAAAAATTGAAACTGATATTCATTTGAAGAAGGATGTTAAAAGTGTGACACAAAGAAAAAATTAATATTCATCATGACTTGTTATTCACTCTTTGTAAATCAAATCTTTAACTCAAATTCTAGCAAATAGCACTTCCTAGCTGATGTGCTTTTTTACTCTTGAGCAATTAACCTGTTTTGCCTGATGATGTATTCCATCAGTGGATAGAACTCACATCACTTTTAAGAGTTAGTGGGCTGAGTACTGGAGCTGACACTCAATCCACATGACTAGCAGTACAGTACTGAATCTAATAAGCGTATCTATTCCACAAGTTAGATATATTCACCTGTTTTGCACTATAAGAATTATATCTATTTTGTTAGTACCTGTAAATATGTTTATGCAATCTGGATGATTCAAGGAGAGCACCTTGTCCAAAGCTTTAAAATACATGTAGTTAGCACTGTTGATAGTATTAGCCACTCCATAAATCTGGTGAGCAACTAAGACATCATTGAAAAAAAAGGTTAAGATGTTGCATGTGTGCAGTTGACACACTTTGGATCAACAGCCAGTCACATTTCTGTGTATATTTTATGTAATCAGATATTACCTGGAATTCCTCTTCGTAATTTTGAGTTATCTTCTATATCATCAATTCTGTGAAAAAGAAAAAAAAAAAACCAAAACATTACAAGCATGCTTGGACAACAATGGCACTTTGGTCCTGAGAATTACGCCAAGGCATGGCATTATTTGGCAAATTATCTGTAGTTATCAAAAAATTCAACATAGGATAACGATTGGAAAATAATGATATTCAAAATAATAAGCAAACTTGAAGTGACTTCAGAATAATGTTAAAATGAACATGCCATGTGACAATAAGTACAATAGATCATGAGATGGGAAGCTTACAATAGACAGGCATTACATGTATATCCACAAATCAGTGATTAAAATTCTAAAAGTGGGCTATTTTCTTCAGCCTATTAATGGCGACTTTTGCTAAGTGGCTAAATTAGCTCTAAGCAGACATGCTTGACCTAGTTAAGTAAAAGCAGCATATTCTTGTAACTCTCAACACTTACAATAAACTAGAATTGTGTAACATCTTAACCACTTCTGCAATCACACTTAGTTTATCCTCTGGTATCCTTAGCCAAAAATTGAATGCCTGTCAAAAAAGAAAAGAAACAGTATCTTTGAGACTCCAGTTTGAGAAAATTTCATGATTGTGGTTTTTTAATAACATGAATTCCACGGTTTCTGATTCCAATTTCCATGGAGTGATTTTGCACGTCCCATTCGAAAAATCTCTTGGCCTTGGAAACACCATTCTAAATGACAAACTCTCCCACACAAGTTAACTTAATACCAACAACACAGGAGGTTAATTTTCAAAAACAAATTTAGCAGCAGGATAGAGTGCAAAAGAGTGAGAATAGTCCACAAAGAAGCAGAAGACTGAGTATTTCCCATGTTGGAAAACAAAATAATGCAGGCCGCACTGAAAGCACCTTTTAATTTTTCACTGCTAAGAGTGATGGCATCATCTAACTTCTCGTTACAGTGTCAACCCTGAATCACAGTAATAAAGAAAATGATCACCAACCAAAGAAGCTCCAATGATTGATAAAGAAATTCTCCTGGTCTGCAACTTAGAAATGTATTATATAGCAGTATGGAGAATTTGTATGCTGATGATGTGGTGTAAAGTGTTAAGGTGAGACATGTCAATGAAAGGACCACTTTGACAGAATGGAGCCTTCTGCCATTACCAAAGCCACAAAACAGATGAAGAGTTAGAGAAACCTGGAAACAGGTGTAGTTAAAAACACAAACAGATGTCAGTGTTGTGAGTTGGCTGGGTGGAGCTAGGCTGTAGTCAGAGAAGAAGGAAAAAGGCAGGCAGCAGAGGTGTCTCTGAATGGAAGACTTTGACAGGACGAAGCCTTATGCCAGATGAAGAACAAGAGATAGCTAGCAATAAAAAGTGAAAAAGAGATGCCCAGTGAAAAAGAGAATGATGCCCATGTGGAGAGTTAGCTGGCAGGAGTAAAACTGTAGTTAAAGATACTGGCAAAAGGCAGGCTGCACAAAGAAACTGAGGTCATGGCAATCTTAATCCAAGGGCCCAAAGAGGATCAAAGAAAAGTCCACATGATTTCCTACAGGCAATTGATTTCACATCACAACACATTAACTTGTAAATTGCAATCCAGTAAAATTTTATAATCAGAAAACAACCTTATATTATACTAGCAGGAAATTCCGCATAAATAAATTACCCAATACAGTTGAACCTCCACTGATGGCCACCTCACCACAAAGGCCACTTTTTTTGGCTCTGGAGGGCTGTCCATACATTCATTTAAACCTCTCTACAGTGGCCACCTCAGTTCATCTGTCCTCAAGGTGGCCCCTGTGGAGAGGTTTGGCTGTATTTTAAATTCACCCTTAAAAAGAATAAGATTCTCACCTGAATAAGCTTCTCCCTGACTTGTTTTCCTGGAACTTTTAGAACATAGCTGTAGGGCTCTAAGAGAATCTAAGAACAAAAAAGGCAATACCAGTCTGTAAAGTGCTTCTACTTAATGCACAGAAAGTAGAAATTACCACCAAGTTTCCTCTGAAAGTGTCAGATGTATGCTAGAAGATGTTAATAGAGTATAGTAATTCCAAAAACTCTGTTTGTTTTGTAGTTGATCAAAAACATCATTATGCTTCTAACAATCATAAATTTTGGCTCAGTCTTATTAGTAGAAATATTCACTGAATTTCCCAGCAAATAACATCTTATTCAAATCTAATGAGTGTGATATTTCTTTATAGTATAAGCCAAGAAATTTCAGAGATTCAGATGGTTGACAGTATCACTATTTCAGTTTAATAGTGGTACATGTATTACGTTGAAAGTGGAACTTACTTTGGAACTGATGACATTGACACTGTGGTTATGATGTTGTGTTACAGCTAATTCTACATACATAACTTAATGCTGTTAATTTTCTTTCAAGGCACATACATCTATCGGTATCCGGTCGTTCCGCCCGAACTTCAAAGTCATTTCACTTGATGTATACATCGTCTTATCTAGTTGTGTAGATTTTTTTTTTACAATGGTGTCTTGAATAAAACTAAAAAAAAAGCGGAAAAATTCGTCTCGGCTATGTTCCTTCCACTGTTTACATGGCCGCCATAAAAAGCATAACTTTAACAAATTTGACATCCCATTCTTAAGCCCGTATTTTAGCAAAAGTTGTGAGCATCTTCAGTGAAATATCGAACAAAACCAGACATTATTTTTATTCAACTGACATCACGATTGACTTTTTGCCTCAAATATCTGGCCTCGATGCGTCTATTACGAAACAAAATGATTTCGCTTTCGATCGCAGAAGTTCCGAGGAAGTTCTCTATTCCAGCGGTTGACTGAGCTGTTATTTTGATAACACGGTCAACAGATATCAACAAACAATACTAAAAGAAATCAAAAGAATAGAATAACAGCTTAATCTTTGTTATTTGATGCAAGTGTTTGTTCAATTCGTCGGGCGGATCGACTTCCATTCTCGGGCGGATCGACTTAAGGCGGACTATCTTTCGGGCAGAATGACCGCAATTCCATCTATCAGGGAGGGAATATGTTCTTGAACAGTGCAAGTAAAAAAAAAATGAATAAAAAAAATTATGCTAATATCACTTACCGCTTCGCGGCTCATGGTATTTGGGACTAGTTCACAAGTGTCAAGGGATTTTTTAAGTTAGTTTATATTTCATTAGCTACCTTTTCCTGCATGGAAGAAGGGTCTGTTGAAGTTGAAGACATCTTTAGACGCACAGGTTGACTTGTGAAACATAAAAAGGTGAAAATGCTTTACATCCTTGCAATCGCAATCGTCCCTCTCGTATCCGCCATTTTGTTTCTTGATAGTTACCAAGCTCAGACAGTTACCAGCTGATCCGTGCTTGATTGACCGGAACCTGGCAACTACTAACAGCAGGTTGTCACGCAAGGCTACGCTAGGGGATGTTTTCTGCTGTAACGCGACTAGAATTATCTTCTTAACTTCTCTTTCAATTAATCTGCGCTGAAAAGTCCTCTAGTATGCCAGAAGACCGATAGGACGGAGACGTTTTGGGATAAAGATAGGGAATCACTGTACAGCTGCACAACCGTGAATCTACTGTTCCGGGTTCCTTGCGGCTCAGTAACCTTTTCGCCGGGCATACTAGAGCGAGCATCAGCGAAGATCGTCTTACAGTTAAGCTGCGATTTAGCCTGTTCCAGGAGTTCAGTTAGTCAAACAAAGTGATGTAATAGACGGCAGGGGATAAAGAAACAGGAGAGGTTTGGCGGAAGTTGGGTCGCGACTTCACCCAAACATCAAACATAAGATATTCCTCAACTGTGGGTGTGAATGAGTGGCTATTGCCAATTTTCACTGTCACACCATCATCAAAACAATTCCACAAACTAAAGTCACTAGTCTAAGAGATAAAAGAAGATGAATATCTGAACAGTTTCCCAAAGATTCAGGTCTGTACAAAGTTTCGTGCAGGAGATATTCGAAGAAATGTTTCATATGACTGAAATTTATAAGGATTCGTATAGAGACGCCATGTTTGTGTCTCTCTAAAGGGCCCAAATATGGCGGCCGGAAGCTAACAAAAACATATATCATCGACTTTTGCTATAACAAGCCTGAAGTCGTCTCTCAAGGGCTCATAAACATCTACATGGATACTTATTCTCATACAAGGACTGTTCAGATTTCGAAATCTCAGAGGATGGGTCACTTCTTTCACCTATCTGACAGTATTCTTAGCCGTCATCTTAATATCGTGTAACGCAATAGCTTAGAAATTCAACCTTGCTTTATCACAAGGCGAAAACCCCGGCTATCAAACTGAAAATTTGTCTCCAGTTGTTGTAATGACTAACTTAACTAAAATCTCAAAAGCCTGATAATTCCTTATTTTTCAATTGGATAACGTCGCGTGAAAGCTAAGATTTTTCGCAGCCAAGGCCGCTCCTTAACAAGTTGCCATTTGCTTGTCAAAATTCGCTAATAATTCCATATATTTGAGCTACGACGAACACATCATTGATAACCATCCCAGTTTAGATTTTCGCATTTGTAAAGTTATCCTGCTGCATGTATCTACTTTAGATCTATCTACACCTAAATACGAGAAGAAAAATACCAAACTAGGATAAGACGTTTCTTTACGTCAGGTTTTGCAGGTTTTGCGCAAGTATTAAGTCGGCTACTTAAACTTATTTTCTCCCTGTATTTATTTACGACTTTTTCATTCTCGTTCAGCTTTCTGAAAATCCCTATTGATTCTCAGGTAAAGAATTAATTCAGTTTTCCTTCATTCTTAGAATCAAAATTACTTTCATCGAAAAGAAAAAAAGAAAGAAAAAAAAAGAATCACCTCCTTTTTAAGAGTCAGTATACATCAAGAGCTCATTTGGAAGTATCTGAACGAGCAATATGAGTTACCATAGTTGTACCAAGCAAAAAAAAAAAAAAAACTCACTGAGCTACATTAAACTTGCGCAAAGCGTAGCTAACCGCCAGTATTCGTCAAGTTGCCCATATAACTTTACCATGCTACGAATAAAGTATGACAAAGTCAAGCAAAATTGTATTTAACCATTGCGATATCAAGTATCTGCCTACGCGAGTTATTGTTGTGACTAGCTGTTACCATGATGTAAACTACAATTACGATGAGAATCATTAAAATGTAACTGCTACCACGCCTTTGCCACCGCACACTGATTCGCTATATTAAAGCTTTCGTGTTAAACGTGTTAAACCGCAATAATGACGCTACTGTTAGTCCATTAGGGACGTGATCTTTAGGTTCCACCCAGACGTGTTTGTCGGAAGAGCGCCTTTTGCCCACCTTATCTTGAACTTCGTTTTAGTTAAATTCTTACAAGGGGGACTGTTATTTTACGATAAGTACTTGGATATCTCGACTACGTTAAATAAAACGATTCGAGGCTTGTCCGTAAAATATATCCTCGCTTCATAGTGTGTCTTCATTTGCGAAACTCATAGTTGTCGTCGAAATTTTGCTTTGCTTGTGTCGGCCGCTAAAAATAAAAGTTAGATGTTAATCACAACTAGCTAGAAAAAGTGCTAGGACTCTTTGACACGTCTGAGGCTTACATATAAACAAGCTGTTTAATAGAATTTAGAACAAAAATGAAATATCCTCTCCCAGCCGATGTTGTTGTTCTTTGAAAAACTGTCGAGATATGAAAAAAATAATAGTTTCTAAGTACTTTCAAAAAATAGAAGTCTATGATCCTTTTAAAAGGATCAGAGACTTCTATTTTCTATCAACCCTTTAATCTCTGAGAGTGAGTTAAGTCTAATTTCTTCTTATAATATCACCCCCGAATCACAAGTTAGGGTCACGAGAATGAAAGAAACGATCACCAACTAACGAAGCTCTTGGTTCTCCTTTTCAGCATCTTAAGAAATTCTTAGAGAACTGTATGGAGAATATACACACTGATGTCAGAGTGTAAGTGTTAAACAGCAATTGAATTGAACATGCGTGCTGAAGAACGCTCGCGAAACATTTGTATTGTACTTTGCTCCGCCTTAAGCTGGCCTCTGACAACCATGTCGATTCTAAAACTCCAATCCCTTGTGCACTGATTACTATTTTTTTTATATCAAAATAAAGCAAAACAGTTTGACGTCCCACCAATATTCGATATTTGAGAATGACTCTCTTCATGACCATGGAAGAGCTCTGGAAAGGAATGTGTAAGGTCTAAATGTTTCGTTTAGTAAATAGGCGTCGCCTTTCGATGACCGATATATTTAATTACAAGACTCGTGATTGACATTAACTCCGTACAGTGCCGGATTTAAAAGTGTTAGCTTATCATGTTTTACACCAGTTTTCAGAAGAATGAATAAGAGAGAGAGAGAGAAGTCGTTTATTATAGTCTGTTCGCTTACCTGAATCTACTAACCTGAAGAGAGAAACCTTTTTATGACCCGTCACAGAAATAAGTTTCCAATCCCTTTTTTGAATTTTGCTACGAGATTTAGACAGTATTTGCGTTTTTCTGATTTCGACTTACAATGTATTTCTTTTTTAGATCGAAAAATTTTTAAAGCTTGGATTGATATTATACAGTTTGTGGTGGTTGTCTAAGGTGACCAGTTCCGAGTAAGGAAACAACATACATGCGAAAGCATAAGGAGCCTCAACAAAACAGAAAGACTTTGGGAACGGTCAAGAGAAGAACGATTTTATTAAAAAACTAAGAACTGAATTAACATTGATGCCGTCGTTAGTTCAGCAAAAGCGTTTGCAATTTTCAATAAGAAGCTAAAGCGAGGAAGAGAGGTAAGCATTGACCGAGGGCGAGAAACAATTATTGCAGTTTTCAAAATGGGTCAACGCTTTTGAATCCCTTATATTTAGCCGTTTTGCTAACAAACATTAGGGTGAGTGTGTGTACTGAGAAAATACAGATGACAAGGAAGATTCCATAATTAATATAACACGTGGAAGTTTTGCATGAGTATTTTACACCATGCATGCCACGAAGCACGTTAGCTGAAACAATCAACGCGACGGTACGCGGCATACATGCAGACTTCATTTAATTCATTATTGACTATAATCTTCTTAACGTTTTTGAGAATTTTTTTTCGTGTGCATGATTTAAAATTTTAGAACTCTAAAAATGCATTGCATATAAAATTTATTTAAGGTGGTTGAACACAGTTTTCGCGCGCGCTTTTGCTGATGCAAATCAGCGCGCGCACAAGGATTGCAAAAAACAAACATGCCGTCAATAGAGCGGTCATTTTATTTACTCAACACGTACCCGCACTATCTGTGCTATTTTTCTTTATAGTTGGCGCGGTGTATTACAAAGATATGTTAGAAAAGTTAACAGTGCAAAGAACCCAGCAATTCTCAGCTTTTTCGTTGTTACTTAAAGAACCCAGTTTAATGCAGCGCATGCGTAGTAAGTCGAAATTGCAACAGAATGGTAAATTGCTTTCTCGGAAATATGCCAATTTCTTGAGAACCACTCATTAGAATTTCGCGAAATCTGGCACGAAAATACTTTAGGAAATAAGTAACTGGAGTATTGAAAAAAAATTGATTTTAAAGAAAGGAAATTCTAGAAAATCGAGTGAACCTTCAACAAGGGATAATTGAAGATCTCTCTGTTAAATTGNAACAAAATGTTAAGGTGGCTGAACACAGTTTTCGCGCGCGCTTTTGCTGATGCAATTCAGCGCGCGCACAAGGATTGCAAAAAACAAACATGCCGTCAATAGAGCGGTCATTTTATTTACTCAACACGTACCCGCACTATCTGTGCTATTTTTCTTTATAGTTGGCGCGGTGTATTACAAAGATATGTTAGAAAAGTTAACAGTGCAAAGAACCCAGCAATTCTCAGCTTTTTCGTTGTTACTTAAAGAACCCAGTTTAATGCAGCGCATGCGTAGTAAGTCGAAATTGCAACAGAATGGTAAATTGCTTTCTCGGAAATATGCCAATTTCTTGAGAACCACTCATTAGAATTTCGCGAAATCTGGCACGAAAATACTTTAGGAAATAAGTAACTGGAGTATTGAAAAAAAATTGATTTTAAAGAAAGGAAATTCTAGAAAATCGAGTGAACCTTCAACAAGGGATAATTGAAGATCTCTCTGTTAAATTGGTAGCAAAATGGTGTTAACTTGTGAGTATCGTTGCAAGCTTGTTGCATGCAAGTTATAAATAAAATCTATTGACTAGATTTTCTACAAATAAACAAAACCGATTTTAATTGCCTGTTTATATCTATTCACGTCGCCATGGAAACGGCACATACGTCAGCTTAACTATCAAAAAAACAAAGTTTGTGTTGTTAACTTGCTTGCTGCCAGTTTTGGTGACCGAGATATCAAGGGTTTTAGAGAAAATGATGAAAGAAACAAAGGTATCAAAAAGTGTGTTCAGCCACCTAAGTTAAGTGGAACTGCTTTCTAAATTTCAGAGGGGAAAAGGTTCCAAGGCATAATGGGAAGGTTGGATGTAACACCGTCAATTATATTAATACTCTTCTGATTGGTTGCAATTTCTATGGCTTGGTATTATATTACATGTATTTATTTAAAACGAAAGGTTACATGGCATATTTGGAAAACTTTTCTTATTTATGTCTCCGGCTTACTTTCAGTTAAACGATTCTAGCAATAACCTTCATTAAAGTTCACTCGATCAAGGTATTGTCGGGGAACATTCTAAACTGGCGTCTTCTCCGTGACCACAATTATGGGTTCCCCATCCGCGATGCTTGCACTTGTCGATACGCATCTCAAATCCCGAGCAATTCAAGTTATCAATCCATATCTGACCAGATCCTTGACCATGCGTGGCTCGGTCAAAGGCTTGAATGGCGGGAGGGAATCCAAGTTGTCTGCAGGCCACATCAGCGTCTCTCATGTCCCAGTCGTCGTCGCAAATAGTTCCCCATTTGCCCCTAGAAAAAACTTCCACTCTTCCATTTAGAGGTGTTTTTCCGTTTGTGAGGCGAATCGAGTCAGCAACTATAACACAATGGCAAAGTGATCTTAATTATCTCGAGCTTTCTTTTTCCGTTTTGTTTTAATTTTTTTATCTTTTTAATAATAAATAGAGTATCACGTTATAACCATCTGCCAAGAAGAGTCTGTAAGCGCATTATTTGCTATGAACAGAACAGAACAGATTTATTTTGCACTATCTCAAGAGATTACGGCAAAGATTATTATAGATTACAAAAGTAACAAATAAACAAGAAACAATAAATTACATAAATAATCAAAAATAAACTGAGCGCAGTGACCAAAGCAGCTTTAGCTTTCGAGTTGGTCACTGGGAGCTGTAACTAACTGGCTTACTTTAGATTTTTATAAAATTACAAGTAATGAGTAGCGGACAAAGTAAAATTATAACTGCATACATTCTTACTTACCATTTCATGTGGTAACATTAATAGAATAATAATAGAAATAGAAATGATTACTAATAGTGACGGCAGTAAATTTAAATAATACTCATTGGGTATTTAGAAGGTACTATTTGTACTGCTCATAAAAATTATTGTAAGAGAGATATTTTAATTTAGAGAGAATTTTTCCCAAAACTTTAGATCCAGCAAAGGCAAAAGTAGCAGCTCCATAACTATTGTTTATCCTTAGCCGATAAAAATTATGTTTGGATACAAATCTGGTGTTGTAGCTGAGAACCACGGAGGCTTGAGTAAGGGTTCCTTTGAATATGGCAGGGACATTTGAACAATGGCCTCCTGATGCATTGTAAATTAGATCTCAAACACAGTCTTTGTAAAAGTTGGACAGTAGACGTTGGGAACATTTTCTTAAGGTTTGTTTCCAACAAATAAATAAATAAATAAATAATAGTTCATTAATACTTCTGGCAGTTAAAAACATAATAAAATAGAGAGCAAAATTACTGAATGCCGATTGGTTAATGAAAAAGGTATTTTTTCTTAATTTTGCTTGAGAAGAGGGCAAAATTACTAGCTCATGATTGGTGCTCAGGTTGCCTAGCAACAGCTTCTGCTATCGAAAAGTTGTTGCTGAAGATTTTCTGTTACAATGGCGTCTCGTTTCGAGATAGTTGACAAGGAATTTATCGAAGAATTAAAAGACAAGAGTCAAAACGAAAACACGAGGAAAAGCACAGAGTACTGGAAGAACGTTTTTAAAAAAGTGGGCGAATGAAAGAAACTTCCAAGTAAATTTAGAAGAGTACGAGAACGATGTCCTCGACTGAACACTGGTGCAGTTTTATGCCGAGTTACGAAAAGAAAACGGGGATGAATATGAGCCCGACTGCCTGAAAGTAAAGCAGGCATCACTGAAGAGATATCTAAAATAAAAAGCCTATCCAAAGTCCTGGTATCTTTGTGTAAAAATAAAATCTCATTCAGCTCATTCGTGCGTTTGTGGCCATTGATTCTCTGTCAACTTTAAATGGCTTCCTATGAATGATTACTGAAAAGCGCATTCAGAAATTCAGTAATTTTCCCCTCAATTTCATAAACAAGTAATCGCAATGTGTCCTCGTAAAATTAAGGATTAATATCACTTGTGTTATTAGAAGTTGCTGAAATTTCCCTCGTCGCTTCGCAACTCAGGAAATTTCAGCAACTTCTCAAAACACGCGTGACATTAATCCTTACTTTTACTCGGCCCCATGCGATTACCTATACGAATAAACAGCGCAATTCACTTTAAATCTAAAATCTTAAACAGTGCAATTTAATAAAATCTATTATAATAATAAGTATCATAAAAATAAGTGAAATCACGAGAACCTAAAAGTGAAAAAGTCATTTGCTCTCTTTCAGTCTTTTTGGTGTCTAGTGCTTTAGCACGAACACATCTATGGAAGAGTGCAAAAAATTTCGAAAAATACTTCATATACCACAAATTATGACATCATACCAGTAAGGCCACACTTAAGTATACATTTTATGATGGGGAAAGAAAATGTTAACCGAAAAATGTGTAAGAAATCGATTTATAATCGCGAGGAGTTGGAAACGAAGAAACTACGACGAATCCCATTCAAGAAAAAAACAGAGCGAGGAATAGTCGGGACCAATGGAATTCGGAAACGAGAAGAAAAAACAAGTCGATGAGAGTGTGACGTTTTCTTTCAGCATTGTGCATTGTTATACCCATGCGTGAATGGTGAAGTAGGTAAGTGAAGCGATCTTTTTTCCTAACTTTATAACGAATTTCTTCCAAATGCGTATTTCAGTATGCCACAGTTTTCGAAGTTGGAACAAATTTGGCTAAATTAAAGGCTTTTAAAGGTGCCTTCGAGTAATCGATGACAGCTGTCTTCGCAACCTCGTTCCCAGGGTCTCTCATCTTCCCACCCCCTGGAGCGAGCGAGGAAGATGAGAGACCCTGGGAACGAGATTACTGTCTTCGTCGCTACCAACATTAGTTGGTAAAAACAGACGTTTTCGGGGCGACGGAGACGTAGAGATCGATTAAGATTGGGGCGAGATTGACCGCGCATGCGGCCCCGCCGTCGCCCTCACTTCGGCGACGTGAGATCAGTGAGTTTGCCGTCGTGGTGAAAACGTGAGTTGATCCTGTTTGTTTTTGTTTTTTTTTTTAATATACTGCCAATTTTGTCACTTGTATTAAAGTGACTGCATTATCGCATTTCGCACAAATCATCACACGATGTCTCGGCTAGGCATTTATAGATTATGCTAGTAAAAGTGGCATATTATGCTAGTAGCATTGCTTTTTTTTTGGCCAAATTATGCTAACATTATGCTCTTTTTTCCAAATTATGCCACCGTTTTTTTAAATTATGCTCTTTGAAAAAATGCAAATAAGTCCAAAATATATATTTTTTAACTAGAAGCCGTTCGTCTACAGGAAAGAAACGCAACAAATCCACAATGAATTTCAAATAAACATGTGGTTCAGGTTAGACCCGGGCTCAGTGCTTCACAGTGAACTACAAATGCTACTAGTTTAACTAAAACTTTAAATATCGATTAAGGTCACCAAGTGCTTGGGACTAGAGACAAAAAATTATCAAATAATGGCATCAAAAATGATCTGATAATTATCAAAATGCGCAAATTATGCTANTCTCCCTCACGTCGGCGACGTGAGATCAGTGAGTTTGCCGTCGTGGTGAAAACGTGAGTTGATCCTGTTTGTTTTTGTTTTTTTTTTTAATATACTGCCAATTTTGTCACTTGTATTAAAGTGATTGCATTATCACATTTCGCACAAATCATCACACGATGTCTCGGCCAACTCAAGAGACCTTTTGTTTTCTCTTTTGGTTAAAATGACCGAAGCAACAGTTAAGTCCAAATCGTCGAGGTAAGTTTTGGGCACGTACGCGTACAGTACTTGAATTCTTAACATAAAAGGGAATTTTTGCTTGCTGCCATTCCCTCTATCAATTCGTAGATGCACCTCGAAAACGTACACCTCAGATCTATGAACATTTTCATATGGAAAATTGAGGTTTTTAGACGGAAACATTTCATACAAAACCAAGAACTCTTCATCGCTAAAAAGATTAGCGTCGTAGTAAAGGACAAGGAGATGGCGGAATTCTTCAGAAGTAATGGCACGAAAACGGCAACCTCTTGCCCAGTCTACCTGGGTTGTCACGTCGCCGTCGCCCCGAAAACGTCTGTATCTAAGCTCCCTAACAACGCTTCAAAGACAGCGCCGCATTTCCAATTGAAAAATAAAATCCAGGCTGTCCTTGTGGCAAATGCCGAACAACCTAACCCCTGACTTTGGTTGCCTGATGAGGACTTGGTTGTCTTTTACATGTTGTATGATTTTCGGTTTTAAATTTTGTGTTCTGAGGCCATAAAATTATATATGTAATTTACATTTGACTCACAGCGGCGTGAAACAGTGTATCTGATAAAAAACTGCAGGATGCCTTCTAGTTTTAAAAACATAACGCTTTCACTTACTGTTAATTTTAATAAAAATATTCCTTTGTATTTTCTGAAGCCGTCTAGTAATTTTCTAAATTCCAACACCCCTAAAACACACAACCCAAAACAGCTAAATTTTAAAACTATTCCCAGACAAACTGCGTCTCAGGTAACGAAAGGGGTGTCAAATCTGTTCGCTCAAAAATTAAAAAGTCAAAATTTCCGACTAAAGATTGAAAATATGAGAGAAAGTGGACTTCAAATCTTTTTAGAATTTAACTTCATTCAAGATGAAGCCAAGACATGTATTCCAAAGCTGCAAGAAATCGATAACTTCGAAGTTCTGCCATCGATCAGAAGAGAGCTATTTAGAACTATTTTTGTCTCAAATATGCAACTCTGATCTTTATCCTATTGAACATCACGATGTAATTCATGAACTGTACCATAATTTTTCTCCTGGGTTGTCTGGCAGTTTTTTTCTCGGGTAACCAAGCTAAGCAATTGATTTTCCTGAAAAAATTCGCGTTTTCCCGTATGTGTCTTTGTGATGAATTTCTCTTTTATGTTACGTTGTCATGAAGCGTTTTGACAATCTTTAAGCGGCTTTTGCTACTTGTTTCTTTCTTTTCAATTTATGGTAATCTGCTGTTATCTATGCACCAACGGGGGTAAACAGAGCCAGGAAATTGTCGAAGTTATTCTTGAAGCAGATGCTTACGGATGTGTGATAGCAAACACAATAATGTCCAGACCACACAGAAACAGGAATAATGGAAAGTTTTAACATCCAGAACTTCTTGTTGTTACATTTTCTTCTTTTTCAGCCTTTAACAAAAAACACTATTTTGAAAACCAAATGAAACAGAAATAGAAATTGTGACTGTCATTTTTATCATTCAAAAATTGTTTTTGTTATATTTTCTTATTTTTCAACCTTTTAAGAGTTACTGTCAGTAAAAATCAGATATGATCATCAAAATCGCGGACACAGCCAAAAATCGATTTCACTCATACTTTCTATATTCATAGACCTTTGTATCAAAATAACCCAAACAGCGTTAGTTTTTTCTAATCTTTATTTTTTTTTAGGGTCGAGTG